AGGTGGCTCGACATCACGATCCACTTTGAAGTGTTGTTATTAGATGCTTGGGGGCAAACAAACGACTAAAGGCATAATACTAGTTACTAACTAGTGTTCAATCGAGGTATCCAATACAGTCCTACAGAAGGTAAATCGCGAGCCCGAACAGTTCAGTGGTAACGTCTGTGAATGCAGCACTGTGTGACAAGGGTTTAATCTCGAGAAGGACGTGAGATCCTTCAAGACTGCAAACACTCCTTGCTGACTGGTGAGTGCCAACAAGCACGAAACCTAGCTCCAAGGCTTCCTACAGACAGCCTCCAACCAAGGACAAGTATTATGCTTATTTGCTAGCGATGCCTAGGCATTCTTTTGCAATCACTGAAAGTAGTCTTATACTTCTACCTTTTCCCGACCGAAAGCTGCTACCTTGACGTGGTGGTCGGGCTTGAACACCGCAATGACCTAATCAAGCTATACTGGCTGAGACTCATGTCTCTTGAGGTTCTACCATGCCAGAAAGGTTGTTTGGATAGCGGTTAAACAAGAAGCAGCTACCCCATCCAATACCATGATTCCAACAAATTCACAAAATTTCATGCCGGATCGGCCGTGGCCCGGATTAACAACGACCGCGCTTCCTGCTGCCGTGTCACAGGGCAGGAGTGATAAGTATGCTACTGAGACACACCAAACAAAAGAGAACAAACAAAAACAGGCCGCGTGTGACCGGCCTCAAGCAGTTGTCCCCTGGGCTCTGCGGTCACGCAACCAACTTCCACGGTGTGGGCAGCCGGGAAGTAACAAACGCCCTCACAATCCGAAATGCACACAAAACCTCTCTAATCCTCACTTATCTTTGTCTTCATCTTCATCTCTATTACCTCACCTTCCTCCCACTGATGCAACTCCTCTACTCCCTCTTCACTCTGTGTCCACTAAAATCGACGGAAGCCAAAAAACCACCACCGATAGTCTCCTAAAGCCACGCCACCAATTTCACATAGGAGCATTTAATGTTAGGACACTTTGCCAAATAGGACAACAAGCATCACTAGCTAAGACCCTGGCATCCCGAGCCATTGATGTATGTTGTGTTTCAGAAACACCCATACAAGACCCAAGTGTGGTTATTCACCTAACCCCACCTGGCCAACAGGATGAATCTTCAAAATTCACCTTGAGGGTGTCGGGAAATGCCACAGCCAGTTCACGAGGATTAGCTGGCGTAGGGATAGCTTTGAGTACTAGGGCAGAAAATACATTACTTGACTGGATCCCGGTAGATAGCCGAATGTGTGCTGTCCGTCTGAAAGGATCAATGAAACAAAGGAAGGACTGCTCTACTCACTGATGCGTTCTCGTAATCTCCGCCTACGCCCCCACTGATTACAGTTCGGATGAAACGAAGGATGAGTTCCGCCAAAAGCTGTCTAGTTTGCTGCGAAAGGCTAGATATAGTCGTTCTAGCTGGTGACTTTAATGGTCAAGTAGGGGAATTGTGTCAATCTGAGAAGGTTATCGGTGGCACCTATGGAGTTCCGTGCCAGCGAAACGACAACGGTGACCGTCTCCTACAGTTCTGTTCAGATAATCATTTGTTTATTGTGAGCACTAACTTCAAACACAAGGAGAGACAGTGATTGACCTGGCGACCCCCATCATCAAACCAACGCTGGACACAAATAGACCACATAGCAATAAGCTATCGTTGGCGTGGGTCGGTAGGAGATTGTCGCTCCTTCTGGAACACGTGTGTAGATACCGTTCACGCACCGGTCCGGGCTCGTGTGTGCTCAAGACTGAACGGATGTAGGAAACAGCTGGTGGTAAACCCATCACGTCCCCGGCTCGATCAGGAAACTAAATCCCTATTTGAGGAAGAACTAGCTAAACACATATCTGAGTTCGACAGCTGTGCTCACCCTGAAGAAGCCTGGAAGAATATCCAGGCAGCCATAGATACAGCTGTAAAAACTGTGAATAAGGCAAATCCAAAGGTGAGTAAAAACCATTGGATTTCGACTGCCTCGTCAGAACCGATAGATGCTAGAAGACTTATTCCGGCGAGCTCCGAATTCAATGAGGAGCGAAAGCTGCACAAAAGGAAACTTACTAAAAGTCTCCGCAAGGACCGTGAACAGTGGTGGCTGACAAAGGCAAAAGAGATGGAAAAAGCATCGGCGATAGGGAACACTAGGTAACTCTTTAGACCCATCACAGAATCGGGCGGGAGAAGGCAAATCATAAGTGAGACTATTTCTGAGAAAAATGGCTCCTTAATTAGCTCTCAAGATAGACGCCTTGAACGCTGGAAAGAACACTTTCAGGGACAATTTAACTTGCCTTCAGCCACACTGAACCTCCCCGACATCCATCACACACCCGAATGGGATATGGACACTGGTCCGCCGTCTGTAAGTGAGGTCACAAAAGCTATTTGTAATTTGAAACGAGGCAAAGCGGCAGGACCCGACGGAATTATTCCGGAGGTGTTTAAATATGGGGGTGACATACTAGTTTGTAGATTAACTGAGGTACTAGGCAAAGTCTGGGAATCAGAGACAGTGCCATCAGACTAGGGTAAGTCACTTATTATCCCGATATACAAGAAGGGAAACAAGTCGTCGTGTGATAATCATAGGGGGATCAGTCTAACGAACATAGTTTCTTAAATCCTAGGCTCAGTAATCATGCACAGACTAAGCAGAACTCGGGAGGAACAGACGAGGGAAAATCAAGCAGGCTTTAGACCAGGTAGAGGGTGCATAGATCACATCTTTACTCTTCGACAGATCCTAGAACATAGACACACTTTTCGGCGTCCAACAATTGTCATATTTCTTGACTTGAAGGCGGCCTTCGACTCCGTGGATCGAAAGGTACTATGGCAATGTCTGACTGTGAAGGGAGTGCCAAGAAAGTACATCGCACTAATCAAGGCACTCTATTCAAACTCACGTAGTCGTGTAAGGGCTTATGGGGAATTGTCATCTGAATTGGTAACAACCAGTGGTGTCCGACAGCGATGTCCACTTTCCCCATTTCTGTTTAACTTCATCATAGAAATGCTAATGGAAGTATCCTTAACTGAACGTAGTGACTTAGGAATCGACTTGTTACCAGGGAATAGTCTTATGGACTTAGAATATGCAGATGACATAGTCCTGTTAGGGGAGGATGCTGACAAAATGCAGAGTCTTCTGAACATCTTGAGTAGCAGTCTTCATATGTTTGGCATGCGATTCGCCCCTACAAAATGTAAGATGCTGCTACAGGACTGGACCACGTCAACTCCTAACTTAGTGATAGGGAATGAAGTGATAGAACATGTTGACCACTTCGCCTATTTGGGAAGTTGTATTAGCACCAACGGACTGATTGGCGATGAAATCTCAGCACGGATCCGAAAAGCTCGAGCTGCTTTCGCTGACTTACACCATCTCTGGCATAGGCGTGACATCCGGCTATCAACCAAGGGACGTGTGTACTGCTCAGCAGTTCGCTCCGTCCTTCTCTATGGCTCTGAAACATGGCCAATACGAGTTGAAGACATAAAAAGGTTGACTGCTTTCGATCATAGATGTCTGCGATCTCTGTCTCACGTTAGGTGGTTTCACAAGGTAAGTAATGTTGACGTTAGGCGAAGAGTGTTGGGCAAAGAGGGAAAATCAATCGACGAGGCTATAAAGTTACATAGACTGAGATGGCTAGGTCACGTGCTGCGTATGCCTAACCATCGCCTCCCCCGACGGGCATTGCTAGCTCATATAGGTGCAGGTTGGAAAGGAGCCAGTTGTGGCCGAACAAAAACATGGCGTCAATCCATGAAATCCTTGACAGTTAAACTGAGTCAGGTAGGTAGATGAAGACTTCCGGATTGGGGCCCTCGGGAATCTAGGAATCAATGGCTGGAGACAATAGGTGACATGACTCAAAATCGTTGTCAATGGCCAGCGCAGATGTATTCAGTCTCTGTAATCTTTCATATTCCTTTCTACCACTACCCATTCTGTTTCACTCTTATACTTGTCAGACTGTATTGATTCTCTTCACTCATCTTCTTGTCTACCTCTGTGTGCTATTTGGAACGTGGCAACTCGAACTGGTGCACTTCGGTGGGGAGTTCTATGTTGAATCCAGACAGACAGACTTCTACCTTTCTCTATAACTGAATATTTGTGTGCCATAATCTCTCAATACGTAAGCAATTATCGTCTGCAAACACCAGCTGAGTATAAATTTACACGCCTAGAATAAATAACGATGAAGAACATGGTTTTAAAATAAACCTCAACTTCTTTCAGTGAGGATACCTTCTCTTCTTATGAAGTGATAATTTAGTGGTCTCGTGTATTTAAATCGCCAGCATGGGACTAGTGAATCAAACGGTTTTGGCAGCTGAGTAGATATAAATCCTCTGAGGAAATATTTAGCAAGATTTAGTCTATTTATGCTATTGCTATTTATAATAGAATAACAAACAATTACCAGATTGATAAAATGCGGAAGACATGGGACGTGGGAAGAAAAAGCAGACACAAGGTTTGTACAGCAATTTTCATCAGTCAACTTAGGTTAAAATAATTCAATCGTACACATGTGGTTGAACTAACATATCAATATGAATGCCGTAACAGTTATGCGATATGTATTGACTAGTTTAAAGACATAGTAGACGAAAATTTTAGACACAAACACAACAATAAACGCGGTAGCTCTAAAATGCATTTTTAAAATATTCCCTGATCTTCTTTCTACGTTCTTATTTCCTTCTCTATTCGTCTCTTTGAAACTAAACTAACTTAAGATGTTAACATCTCAAATTAACCACCCCAAATTGTGTTCTTATTGTATTTCCAAACAACTCATTTCGCCATTTTACGGTCTGTTAAACTCCAAAAATATCACTATCAAGGTATGGTGTCAATGCTAATCTGATTTTTTTCATTTTCACTGAATGCCTTATTAAAATAGTTTCAAAATATCAAACAGTCAAAGGGAAGAGTACAACTCACTTTCTTAAAGCTAAGTTCAAAGATTGATGCCCTTTACCGATTGGAGTAGCCAGTGGACCTTTCAATCCAATCCCGTGTTTACGTATAATATCCAGTGATTCTTGTGGCATTCGAAATCGTCCATCTCCTGTAGGTCTAGGTGTCACATCCACCAGATCCCATTCAATTGGAACCTAATAATTTTTTTAGAGAAATAAAAACGTGTATTAGAACGATTATTGGTAGTCTTTTACTACAACTTTAATAACGAAGCAGTCCCACAAAAGTCTAACAATCTACCCAAGCTTATTATAATGCTGAATAAATCTCGCTGATTCTGAGCTAACTCTAGAATGCTATAATGAGTAAATTCTGAAATTGTACTGAAACAGTTTGATTATGTGCACAAACTAGAATTCAGAGCTGGTTTTCAGCATGATTGGCAATAATTCAACACCATGCTCTTTCCAGGCATTTTCAGAAGTTACTCAGAGCCTACTGGGCTTGCTAATCAGCGTGGTTTCAGCCGTCTTGGCCCAGATTCAGCACTGACTGGTATTACTTCAGAACAAAAAGAGTCAATTCAGCGAATAATGGCAATTTCTCGGCCTTATTTCAACACTAAAGGCATTATTTCAGCCACAAATCCTATTTGAAAGGTTCCGTCGCATTAATTACGCATCTGGTTCCCTTTTTAAGAACAACCAGTGTTATTTTAATACATCATGGGTTCATTTTAGGTAGATAAAATGTCCATTTACCATAAAAGGCATCCTATGAATAGAACAAATAATCGTACTACACTGAGTTTAGCGACATTGTATTTTAGGATAATAAAGACAAATACTGTTCTAAATCAACTTTCCATACCAAAAGAAGTACAAATAACCATTTGTCGTAACTGCTAAAGATAAATGTTGCACGTTGACTAACTCTCTATTCCCAAAAGCCCTATATGATAATACAGCTGACAAACTCTGGAAAAAATTAATGTTTTGGGGAAGACCCATGTGGTTCGAACGGGGAAATTTTACGCAAGTACATTGCTTGGGCTCAAAACTATTGGGTAATTCCCGGAAATCCCACGAAATTCTAATGCGATTGCATTATTCCAGACATTAAGAGAAACGAATAATAGAATTAGCAATAACTTTTCCGAAATGATGATTTATAAACAAGTGAAATATATACCACAATAGCTGAAACAAATTCTGTAGGTACATAACTGACTTACTTTGGCAAACTTGAAAATTTCTTGAACAGCTGCAGATATCTCTGGTCCTATTCCATCACCTGGAATCAGTGCAACTGTTCTTACAGCACGAGTTGATGCTTTTCTGTATGAGATAATGATAAAAACGCAAACTATTATCAAACCTATTTACACCCGCAAGAATCCGCGATAGGGAACTCAGAAGCCGCATTTTCCGCGACGTTAGAAACGCAAATTAGTAAATTTAAACTAATGCTGGTGAGATATCTCAAATAAATTGAATTTTTCACGCTGGGATGTAATTCAGAGTATTGATGAAATTATCTGTGATATATTTCAAGTAGTTTCTGTTTGTGGAACAGTACTTAAATTTAGACAAAGCAATAAGAAAACGTAATTTGTCTGAGTCGTGTAATATATTTGCCTAAATTGTTCGACTACGAAACAATGACTTTAGGATATTTGGCTTCAGGCCTGTGTCTAAACCCTTTTCACTGGATAATTAATCTTAATGTGAATAAGTTAAATGAAAGTTATGAAGCCAGGACCTGTAGTGGATCAGTCCAATGGTTTATGCTTCTCTTGAATAAACTGTCTTCTGGATGTAGGCCACATGACCGTGGTTTTCGAACTTTTTGGTACCATTCAAGCAGGCATTCGCTGCAGAAACGAGGGAAGAGACCAAACAAATTCGCAGTGAAGCAGCTATATGAGATATACTTTGCTAACATGAGGCTGTACGTACTGTGACCGACCCGGGATCATGATGTGAGAAGTCAAGGTGTCACTTCTAGCCTATCAGTTACTGGAACTTAATGCTGATATGTACCATCTCTTCATTCCTTTCTTATTTTTTGGTTTATTTACATACTCCGTGGCACCATTCCTCCCCAGGACTTAATCAGCCCGAGACCGACAAAACTAACATTTTATTTCTGTATCTGATTTCAAGGTTGTCTCGTGTCCCATACCCATCACTTACCTCTTTGAAAAGCTTCTTTCAGTCTATGGAGAGAAGTAACTCACTGAGATTATAACCACTAGTTACCGTCTAACTTCACTGTTTAGTGCCATATTATTCATCGCCGAACATTGGATACTGACCCTCACTGCTTAAGTCAAATTGTTTAGCTGAAGGTTTCCTATCAAGCATCCACATCATTTAGTACTCCGTCGTGTCACGTTCGTTCGTACACGATCCTTAGCTTAACGTATTTATTTTCGAATATTAAATAAAAATCGTCCATTCGCTTCCCGAATGGACAATTTTTACATTATTCAAGTTGAGTACACACACACAAAAATAGAATAAAATAATACAAAATTTCAATGGGAAAATAAGTACAAAATAATGATTGCTAAATAACATAAGTAACCTTCGTAAAGATAAATAAAAATATAAACGTAAATTAGTCAATTAAACTGTCAAAAAAATAAGTGTAGAAAAATTAGCACGGCAGCCTGTGTTAAACCCAATAATGTGTACTTTTTCTGCAGCACTGTCAGTTAGAAGTGTTTGTTCATATATATGTAATTGCGGTTGGTTGTTTGTGTCATATGTTGATGTGAGATATTCGTGACTGGTACAAAAGTATGATTCTTAATAATTTATGTTTATAGATTCATCAAATGTAATACAAGCCTCTATTAATTTTGAGTATGTGAATGTTGCTTGCATGTATGAATCATGGGGTAGCATCGACAGTTGACTATAGTAATAGTATGTAACATCGGAGAAGTTAATAGGGACAATATGCTCTATGCGTGTATGTGGTATAGAACAATTAGAACATATAGGATAAACAAAGTTACCAGGCATTTTAGGAGGTTAATAACAGTATTATTGGTTCAGTGTATATATATATATATGTTTATGGGTGTCACAATATGTCTCGTGTGTGAATTATGCCAAATGGTAGTAGAGTAAACGGTAGAAAAAAAGTATTCCTATAAAAAAGTATGCCAATAAATTTACAATATCACTGGTTCAATTCTTTTTTCTACGTCTGAGTCCATACGTTCCACGCATGTAAGTATCATGGATTTTCAAAGAACCTTGATTGGTTGAGATGCAGTGGCGTGAAATGTCGAAGGGGGTGAAAAGGAGTCTGCGAAGGTATTTTGCAGAGAGTTGACTGATCATCCCTCGATAAGAGATTACAACAGGAATTTGGATGATTCTTTGAACTGTATGTCCCATTGTAGACAGGAATCGTTTACATGCGGCAACCATCGTTGGAGCTCCGTATTTTGACATCTTAGACGCATGGCTGATGTAAATGTAGGCGTCGCTGCAGATTGTTACGTCGAGAATATATGCCACGCCGTCTAACAGGATAATCATATCTGGTTGACAGGAAGACGTGGGCGTTGGAACACGCGGCTCGATGTAAAATCTGGTATTGGATTTCCAGAGTTTGTTGGCGATCAGCTTGAGAACGTCGTTGTATCTCTTGCATCTGACCTCATGAGTAGGAGTGCAATGCTGAAGAATGTGTTGAAGATTTCCTGGTTGACCACACCCGCCACTGCAGTTGATGTCGACTCTGGGACGCCCCCGCGCATTTCTCGTTTTTGTGCTCAAGAGACCTCTATGCAGTTGAACGGCCCGTCCATAGAGTTTGGGCAAGACCATTCCAGAACTGAGAAGCCATTTTTGGGATTCGGGACATGTTGTTGATTCCGTCAAACCATAACCATCCACTGATGAGTGTAGCTGTTGTTCCCAGCTTTCATGTGCTTCTTCTGCAGATGTTACTATACGTCTGTGTACTTGAATCGGAAGATTGCAGATAATGAGTAAAGGCGTGAAGGTAGCACAGGACGCTATGCTGCGTCTCTCCCCATAACGTGGATATATTTTTGTCGATTTCTGGAATATTGTAGTGGATATTATACCACTGCTCAACTATAACTTATATTGGCTGCTACTCTAGCTTCCAATTCTGCAGATATATCACCGCCAGTTATCAAGTTTGGATCCACTCTTTCGCAGGGCTCATCCTCCTTATTGTAACTTTAGAACAACGTCACAGAAAAGAAAACTGTAGAGAAGTTCATCATTTTTTGGTTTACATACCAGGATCAATTTACAGGATAATTGGTTTCTATATACTCTGTATTTTACTTTTTAGTACTTTGTAAATTTATTGTTTATTTATAAGCAATAAAATTCCATACGGTATCCATAGTAGTACTTAATCTGTATATCCACTCGATATACTATTTTTCCATATACCCGTTTTCGATTTAGCTCGGCTTTAACTTTAAACCATATTGATTAGTTTTCAGCAATGGCACAACGTAATAAACGAGTACTTTCCATACGTAAGAATAGTTTGGGTCACTCAGCTAAGAAGATACGTACATCACTGTGCGTTCCGCGTAGCCTCAACAATGTCCCCGAAGTCATTGTTCCCGACTTGTTGTCAGAGGTATATGCAACTGCTGAACAAAATAAGTTGGACCTTATATCTCTAGGAAACTCTGTGAAGGAATTAAATGAGAATATAAACACCATTAAGCCACTACTGCTTCTTTGTAACCCAACTCATGATGCTAATCCGGAAAGTCTGCTGAAATCTGAGCGTATGTTAGACTTTATAGCCAGTGAAGTTACTAAACGAATCATGTCCTCGTACAACGTTCTCGCTTACAATCTGCCTGATCGGACGCCTCTGGACAAAATCAAAGTGACATGTCTCCAAGCGTGTGGCATGCCATCAGCGAATTGCCACCTAATCAGACTCAGGAAAAAATCAGGAAAGTATACTTGCCCTGTGCTGTTTAAATTCAGTAGTCCTAATGATGCTAGGAAATTTCAGTCGTCAAATAAGTTAATTAGTTCATCCACACCTTATGGTAATATTAAACTTGCCCATGACCTAACGCCATGTCAAAGACGTAGCCGCGCAAGTGTACCAAGTGTCGCAAAAACTTACGTAACAGCAGAATGTCCTATAGAAGACTCTGTCGCCTTAAACTTGAGTAAACCTAATGGTACAGACATACATGAAATACTCTTAAATAATAAAAATTTACCTAGTAAACTCAACGATGAAGCAACTACGGTCATAGACTTAGATGCATCTTCAGAGTTATGCTCGCTAGCCACATCACCATCAGCCGCTAATACCACTACCAACGTTAAGCAAAAGACTAAGCTCGAGCATGTAGCATTAAGCATATCCTCCCCGAGCAGCACTCAGATTAGTGAGCATACAAAACGAAGTAAAATAACCCTGCCATCCAGAATACCTGTACTCAAACACATCACTGATAGGTTTCTCAGCAGCGAACCAGATAACATTAACTTAAGCGACCCCAATCATACCACTAAACCAGGGAAGCAGAATAAGCCCTCATACCGCCATAAATCTAACGTCAATGAAAAGAGAGGTAACCCGCCGATTCATCCAACATCAAACAAGTCTTCGTCCGATAGACACAACAGACGCTATATGTCTGGGCACCCTAAAAATAAGTCGAAGCCCGACGGGCAGGCATACACCTACCCCGACACAACTTTCCAATCTAGGGCTACTATAGACAAAAGTTTGATCCAGGGACCTCTACAACAAGGAACAAGTGCGCTAGGCATGTTTCCTAAAGGTGGCCTTTTGACTCACCACATCCCCGAAAACCATCGCATACAGACCACCCAAGACCGTCAATGGACTAATATTTACGAAAATAACTTAAACACACAAAATATTAGTCATAACTGCGATACACGTAACTCTACCCCAGCATACTATCCACAAGGAATACCTACCTCCCCCCATCCAATCTAAATTTTCTCAGCCAACACGAAATTTCAGCCTCAATATTGACGCAAATAGCACACATACTGTCAAGCCACTTATCACCGGATGGGAGGGCGATGCATTGGAGGCACGGTATTATGAACACCTCACACCCGCCGGGGTAACAAACGATGGCACATCTCTCTGTGCTGATACTGGTGTAGGGCACTTTTCCAGCACTGCTAGTAAGTGGCCACCATCTGAGTTAGCACCCATCAAACAATCTGTTCTAGACGCCATAAACCTTGGAGAGAATATTTTTAAAGATATATGCGATTTCACCGTCACCCCTAACTCTCTCTCATTCTGTCTTATCAATGCTCGCTCCTTACTCAACAAAATGTTCGACTTCACGACATTATCCCTAATTTGCAATCCGTCTCTCATAATGATTACTGAGACATGGTGCACTCCTCAGATTTGCGATAAAGATATTTCTATTGATAACTATTATGTATTCAGAGGCGACAGAAACTATGGTAGAGGAGGAGGATGTGCTATGTATATCAGGTCTGATATTAAGGCCACACAGTGCTTCTACCCAGAGCTCATCACAGATAACGATTCAGTGTGGGCTATTCTAAGACTGTCTCACTCCAGTTCCTATCTTATAGGTTGCATCTATCACCCCCCGTGCTCAACCGTTGAAGGTAATATGAAGCTTGCTAGCACGTTCGCTTACGCCACTTCACTACCTCACACGGCTAAAATTATATGTGGGGACTTTAATATGCCCGATGTAGTCTGGCAACCACTTTCCTCACCAAA